GTTGTATTATGGTGTCTTCTTTCAGGTACGCAGATCTATCGCCTCAACGGCACAGACCCTGAAGGTCAGGAGGTAAGGTATGGCCTGTCTTTTGATCCAGGGTCAAAAGAGTACTTCAGTGTCAACCCAAAATCTGGAAGTATTACGTTAGTGGAAAAGTTGGACAGAGAGGTAAATTCAAGATTAGGACATGTATTCAGACAACAAACATTTTGGTTTTTGAAAAAAGTAATTTTATTTTTATTTTTCTTACTCAGAAACAAGATTCTATCGATGTTAATATCAGTATCACAGATGGGAAAAGCAAGGTAAGTACATATTTACAAAACATTGCGTAAAAATGTAATAATCATTATTGCTCATCTCACCAGTTTCTATGTGTCTAGAACATGATATATAACACGTACATGGGCAGCTGTCACTCAAGAGCAGTTCCCTGCCACAGACCAGACTTGTGCAACACACAAAACCTTATGTTGACCCCAATTTGTGAATCAGTGTTTGAGTAAATGAGTGAATGTGACTTATGTGTTAAGAAATAGTAGAAAAGTGCAACATACAGTAAATGCAGTTAATTTCCCATTTACCATAACTTTGAAGAAAATACCTTGACTTGAACAAAGTGTGTTTTTTTTTTTTTTTTGCTTTTTTTCTTCTTTTTTTTTAGGTTGTAGAAAAAGTGACTATATTTGTGATGGATACAAATGATGAAAAGCCAGAATTTCAAAACATGCCAGCAATTATTGATGTACTTGAAGTAAGAGGAACAAACTTTAACTCATCATCTTTTATTTATACATATAAAAAAGTTTCAATAAATGCATATTGAATGCAAAGCTATCAACTGACTGTGGTCATGTTTGCGTTGCACATTTTAGACAACTGAATCAGGAAGTAGTATCTACAAAGTGGAGGCTGTGGACAGAGACACAGGCTCGGGAGGCTCTGTCACATACTATCTCCAGGTACGACGTCTGCTAGAAGAAAAGAAGCATTTCAAACTGTTTCCTGAGTGTTGGCAGTTCTGGTGCTGCCCTGCATGACACACAAAATGATTTTCCTTTAGCTATATTTTGAGGTAAACTTAATTCATTGTTCATTCACTTGAATGTGGTGTAGATAGGGATTACATCACTATTTTATTTGTGTCAGTTACTAAATGATTAGATGGCTGCTTTGGCAGCACATGGCAGGGAATACTGGTTTGCACTTTGGACAATTATGTCTGTAGAACAGCTGGCCTGCTCATGTTTGAGTCTAATGAGTTGGGGGTGTTCAAATTTGGTTAAAGATATGCAGAGAAACTGGCCGGTTGACCTCTTTTTATATCTGTGTTGGATAATTTTGTGGTTTCAGACATTTGCGTGACCTTGGTGTTTTTAAAATCATTGTTCTGTCCTCTGTTACAGACGCCACAGTCCAATTTGTTTGCCATTGACAGACATAGTGGTGTCCTTCGAATTAAATCAGGGGAAACATTGGATTACGAGAAAACCAAGACTCACTTTGTCATAGTTATTGCTAAGGTAGGTGTAGAACTGATTGACTTTTGTTTTTGTTTTATATTTTTTAGTTTATGGCTTTTGTGCAGAGGTTATTAGCACTAAGTATGTACAGCGGGTAAAATAAGTATTGAACACGTCACCATTTTTCTCAGTAAATATATTACTAGAGGTGCTAATGACATGAAATTTTCACCAGATGTCGGTAACAACCCAAGTGATCCATACATACAAAGAAATCAAACCATAAATGTCCAGAAATAAAGTTATTTGTAATAATGTGGAATGGCACAGGGAAAAAGTATTGAACACATGAAGAAAGGGAGGTGTAAAAAGGCATGGAAAGTCAAGACACCAGCTGAACTCTCTCAGTAATTAGAAAGCAAGCCTGCCCCTTGTCAGTGCAAGTTAATATCAGCTGATTCAGTCCCAAATGATGGCCAGGTATCACACAAGAACCATCTGATGATGGGTAAAAGTAAAGAGCTCTCTCAAGACCTTCACAACCTTATTGTTGCAAAGCATAATGATGGCATCGGTTACAGAAGAATGTCTAAACTTCTGAAGGTTCCAGTGAGCACTGTTGGGGCCATAATTCAGAAGTGGAAAGAACATCATTTCACCATAAACCGACCACGACCAGGTGCTCCTCACAAGATTTCTGACAGAGGAGTGAAAAGAATTATCAGAAGAGTTGTCCAAGAGCCAAGGACCACTTGTGGAGAGCTTCAGAAAGACCTGGAATTAGCAGGTATGTTTGTTTCAAAGAAAACAATAAGTAGTGCACTGAACCACCATGGCCTGTATGCACGCTCACCACGCAAGACTCCACTGCTGAAGAAACAGCATGTTGAAGCTCCTTTAAAGTTTGCTGCACAACATTTAAACAAGCCTGTGAAATACTGGGAGAATATAGTCTGGTCAGATGAGACCAACATTGAACTGTTTGGATGCCAGAATACACATCATGTTTGGAGGTCAAATGGCACTGCACATCAGCCCAAAAACACCATACCAACAGTGAAGTTTGGAGGTGGGAACATCATGGTGTGGGGCTGTTTTTCAGCATATGGTACTGGCAAACTTCAAATAATTGAAGGAAGGATGAGTGGAAAAATGTACAGAGACATTCTTGATAAAAATCTGCTTCCATCTACCAGGATGATGAAGATGAAACGTGGCTGGACATTTCAGCAAGACAATGAGCCCAAACACAAAGCCAAGGAAACTCTCAGTTGGTTTCAGAGAAAGAAACTAAAGCTGCTGGAATGGCCCAGCCAATCACCTGACCTGAATCCAACAGAAAATCTATGGAAAGAACTAAAGATCAGAGTTCATAGAAGAGGTCCACGAAAGATTTGAAGACTGTTTGTGTGGAAGAATGGGCCAAAATCACACCTGAGCAATGCATGCCACTAGTTTCTCCATACAGGAGGCGTCTTGAAGCTGTCATTGCCAACAAAGGCTTTTGTACAAAGTATTAGATAAATTTCAGTAAGTGTGTTCAATACTTTCTCCCTGTGCCATTCCACATTATTACAAATAACTTCATTTCTGGTCATTTATGGTTTGATTTCTTTGTATGTATGGATCACTTGGGTTGTTACCAACATCTGGTGAAAATTTCATGTCATTAGCACCTCTAGTAATATATTTACTGAGAAAAATGTTGACGTGTTCAATACTTATTTTACCAGCTGTAACTCTTACAGACAGTGTTCAGAGTGATGTCAGTTTGGAGAATCAGGGAGGATTTCTTTTTGGATGAATGAAGTTCACAGCTAATCAGACTGCAGCCCAGTCCAGAGTGGATTTCTGCCGTTTTATTGTTATTCAATCAAACACTTTGTTATGTGCTTTAACATGTTTCACATGAAAAGTATCACAATGGACTGTTCCAGCAGGGCCCACCTTCAACACAAAAAATACAAAATAAAAAAAGATGCCTATGTAATAAATGTCTGAAGCAAAAAAGCCAAGGCATTAAAAAGTCATAATAGAGCATTCAACTGAACTTCTATAAAGTGTTCATTGTTTGAATGTTTAAAATCCTTGCTGGTTCAGAGCTCGATGCCTTCATGGGTATTTCTCCCTGATCTTTTAAACTGAGATTGCTCTGTTTGCTGTCTACTACAGGTTAGATACTGACTGTTACTATTTCACAGAAACTCTAAAAAAAATCCTAAAAGTAACTATTTGATTTGTTCTCTCCTGCATTTAAATATTTCTTGTAAGTACAGCCAAACATTGTGGTGGTTTGACTTTATCCAGATAATAAATATTTTTGTGTAGTTCATTGTCAGCATTCCACTGAGTCGTACCAGGAAACTTAAAAAAATGTTTCAGCAGAGATTATGCAATAATAAAAACTCCACATGTCTTTGATAATAACTGATTATTATTAATAATATGGTTAAAGAATTGTTAATTAAACACTGTGTTTTGCCAGGATGGTGGTGGAAACTATAACGGCAAGGAGCAGTTTCTGTCATCCTCTTCTACCCTAACCATTAATGTGATCGATGCACAGGATACGCCTCCGTCTTTCATTGGGACGCCCTACTTTGGCTATGTTTATGAAGTCTCAAAGCCAGTGAGCATGAAAATATCTACCACTGATTTTATTTCCCATGAATTTAAAATCATGTCAGTTAATGTGACAACTATTCATCACACAATACCTTTATTGCATATATATAT